TATTAGCTAGAATCGTTGGATTTCCTGCTTTCTAGCTAATCTAAATCGTCTGGCACAGCAGATTCCCCCCCCCCCCCGCTGTTCTACCTACCTTTGGAGGTGCGCTCAGTAACAGGCTCATCCCATTGTGACGCTCTGTGCATGCGCAGAGGTGGTGCATGCACTCACATTTTCGAACCAGTAGCAAAGGTAAATTGATTTCGCCCCCTGAATGAATCTAACTTTTTAGCCCATGGATGAAAGGTGCAGATTAGAGCATATTTTGGCAGGTCAGTGAAAGAATTTGCCCATTTAGGAGAAATATGGTTTATGCAAACAATGGAGATTTGGCATGTTCCTGGTTTTTCAGTGGGTTTTTCTGCCCAGCAGTAGCAAAATAGGGAGCAGCAAAAAAAATTATGCATGCTCAAGGATGTGTTGTTCATTCTTCCAATCTCTATTGTGGCTTATCAACGAAAAGTAGACGTGAATGGTGCAGGCAACTCTGTTTTTATCAACAAACATATGAGCTGTGGTGGCGCAGTGTTGCAGGCTAACTCTGCCCACAGAGTGAGGAGTTCGATCCTGACCAGCTCAAGGTTGACTCAGCCTTCCATCCTTTTGAGGTCGGTAAAATGAAGACCCAGATTGTTGGGGAAAATATGCTGACTCTGTAAACTGCTTAGAGAAAGCTCTAAAGCATTACAAAGCATTATCTAAGTGCTTTTGCTATTGATATTCTGATTCATTTCTCAAAACTGCTCTTGTTCTCCAGATCCCTAAAACCTGAGGAGAAGTCATTTGGTGTTGGTCTCCATTCCCTGACAGAAAGACTTTTCGGTAAGAGAGAGCCACGATGGTGCAGGGGTTAGAGTGCAGTCCTGCAGGCTACTTCTGCTGACTGCCGGCTGCCTGCAATTTGGCAGTTCAAATCCCACCAGGCTCAAGGTTGACTCAGCCTTCTGTCCTTCCGAGGTGGGTGAAATGAGGACCCAGATTGTTGGGGGCCATAAGATGACTCTGTAAACCGCTTAGAGAGGGCTGTAAAGCACTCTGAAGCAGTATACAAATCTAAGTGCTAAGTGCTAACTGCTAAGCTGCACTCCAAAGAGGGAATAGGTAAGAGGAAATCATAACCCCTAGGACTAACTTGTGAAGCAGTCCTACAAAAATAGCCTGCAGGAAAACTATAACTCACAATCTCCTGGTTTTTAGCCCGATGCCTTAACTACTACAGTTATCTGATTCTTGATGCTAATAGCAGGAAAGGAAACTGCAAGAAAGCAGTTTTATATCACAAATAGCAAAACACTTTGGTAGCTGAAAAATACTTTTCTTGTTCTTTATGTCATATTATCCCATGTAGCTGGAATCCCATCACCAATTTATTTTGGAGCTATGATTGACAGCACATGTTTGAAATGGGGAACAAAGCCATGTGGTGGAATAGGGGCATGTCGGATGTATGACACTGACACATACAGGTATGGCTATTGGATTATTGTCACTGTTGTTTCGTATAATCAGTGGTGGGATTCAGCCGGTTCGCACCTATTCGGGAGAACCNCCAAAGTAAGACAGGGACTTATTTTCTTTTGACCCCTGAAATAAGCGCTTGGCCTTATTTTTGGGGAAGTCTTATTATTTTTGAGGTGCAGGAGGTGGCGAGCGTGGTCACCTCATGGCTGCTGCTGTGTTGCAATATTTTCAGGGAGGGCTTTTTTTAGTGCATGTGCTCAAAAGCCCGATTGGGCTTATTATCCGGGGAGGTCTTATTTTGGGGAAAACAGGGTATTGTGTCTGTCTGCCTGTCCATCTGCCTGTCCATCCATCCATCCACTCTTCTATCCATCTGTCTGTCCATTTGTCCAGTTCTCTCTCTCTGTCTGTCTGTCTGTCTGTCTGTCTGTCTCTTTCTCTCTCAGTTAAAGTACAGAACCATTGCAGGAGGGAATTAGTATTAGTCTAGGGCAGGGGTCTGCAACAACCTGCAGCTCTTGAGCCGCACGTGGCTCTTTCAGCCCTCTACTGTGGCTCCCTGTCTCTGGTTAGTAAAAAGAAAAAGGAGGCCATGCTAGGAGGAGACTCTATGGTGGGGGAACCAGACTTCCGGTTGTCTCCAAAATTGAACGGGGGGGCTTCCGCTTAGGACCTTTGAGTTAGGCTCTGTGAGTATTTAAGATCGCCGACCTCTGGTCTAGGGCAGCAACAACCAGTAGCACTTTTTCTGACCAAATTTTATTAAACGGCATAAATTCCTGCGAGCTGCAATCTATTGAATCTGATCCCATGTTAAAGGTTAACCAAGATAAGTATAGAACCAAACCCAGAACAGGGAAACTCAGAACCAAGTTTCTCATTCTTAGCAACTTCCAGATGTACGGACTTCAACTCCCAGAACTCCCCAACCAGTTTGGCCTCTGCTGAGAATTCTGGAAGTTCACATAAGTGGAAGTTTCCCAGCCTGGTGCTGGCTTTCTATTATTCCCACCTTGCCCCACAATGCATCAGGGAAAGAATGGAGCCTTTCCTCTAACACATTTGCAGAGAAACGGTGCTCACAAAAATGGCTTAAAAGCCAGAAAGAAAACTGAGTACAATATTTTTCTGAGTATAAGATGCACCTCCCCGCCTAAAAGAGAGTGAAAATTCAGTTGTGTGTAGCCAAAAATCCAAGGCAGGGAGGAGACGATGGCCTGTGGCAATCTCTGCAGCCTGGAACAGCTGATTGGGGGTATTCTAGGAGGCCAATCCAACTGCCAATCAGCTGCTCAAGCTGAATCAGGCTGCAATGATGTGCTGAAGCGGACTTGGCTGTTCACTATTTGTTGCAAGGAGGTGTCAGAGTTTGCAGCAACAATCACATTCGGAAAGCACACACAAGTAACTGATTCAGCAGGATTCAATAACTTCTCTTTATATATAATATAACACATTAACAAAATATACAATACCGAAAGCAGGTTTTCCAATGTGGTAATTCAGCAGAGGAGAGAAGCTTTACTTTCAGTTTTAGTTTCAGATATCAGCACAGCATGCAGCTTTAGTACAGAACAAGCCA